TTTATTATTATGTATACAATATTCTGTCTGTGTGTATGCTTGCAGACCAGAAGAAGGCACCAGACCTCATTACAGATGGTTGTGAGCCACCATGTGGTTGCTGGGAATTGAACTCAGGACCTTTGGAAGAGCAGGCAATGCTCTCAACCTCTGAGCCATCTCTCCAGCCCCCTTTTTTGTAATTATTATTATTGGTGCAGGGAATTAAACCCTGGGCCTTCTACATGCTAGGCAAATTTTCTCTCCCTGAGCTAGAAGCCCAGCCCCTCAGTTCTTGTTAAATTGAATCGTTTGAGATAGTATTCTGGACCTTGTCCTCTGAAGACTCTGGATTCCGTTCCTTCCTTCACAGAGCTTTCTCAGTGGTCAATTAACTTAAACACCATTCCAATCTGTTGTTGTTTTGGTTTTCTCGAGACAGGGTCTTACTGTGTACCCATGACTATCCTATAACTCACCAAGTAGACCAGACTGGCCTTGAACTCACAGAGATTCACACATCTCTGCCTCCTGAGTACTGGGATTAAAGGCTTGCACCACCACTGCCCCTCTCCCTTTTTTTTTTTAAAGACAGAGTCTGCTATATAATCCAGGTTAGCCTTGGCCTCACAGTCTTCTACCTTCAACCTTCTAAGCCCTGGGGTTGTAGGTGGACACTGCTCCCATTTGGGGGTTTTTCTTGGTGGTGGCTTGGGAGTTTTGTTTATCTATAGCATAGATTATTTGTATCTACCTTATGAGCATGACTCAAGTGTTGCCCAAAACCTTGAGCAGAGGCTGGGTGTGGTGGTTTATGCCTTTAGTCCCAGTGCTTGGAAGGCAGAGGCAGGTAGATTTCTATGAGTTTGGGACCAGTCTGGTCTGCATAGCAAGTTCCAAGCCAGCCAAAGCTAAAAAGTGTGGCCCTGTCTCAAAAAAAAAAAAAAAAAAAAAAAAAAAAAAGCGCGTAGAGCAGAATTTGCACTGGAATTTGGGCTCCTTATCTAAGACTTTCCTTCCTGAAATTCTTTCCCAGTGACTGTGGAACTTGTGACCAAGCAGCTACGCAATATGACCTCTTTCTTTGTATTTATTTGCTAGGGGTTAGGGGATGCAGTAAACTTTGGAGACTAAGTGAGAAAGCCCAGAGGGTCAGAGAAAGTATGCTTAGACTTTTGACAGGTATCCAAAAAAAAAAAAAAAAAGAGACAGAAGGAAAAGTTACAATTTGAGTTAGAACTCAGAAAAGTGGGGAGCTTCAATGATGGTGCTGCTGCTGCACAGCAGAGCTCTGTAAATGGCTGCACCGCTGCACAGCAGAGCTCTAATGCTTGCCTACTGCACAGCAGAGCTCTGTAAATGGCTGCACCGCTGCACAGCAGAGCTCTGTAAATGGCTGCACCGCTGCACAGCAGAGCTCTAATGCTTGCCTACTGCACAGTAGTGCGTTAGCCATCAGGGAAGGGTACGTACATCATCTCACTAAAGGGATAATTATTCCTCCCATCTCCTTAGCGTGTCTTTCAGCTTTCCTGGGTAATGGCCACCACTGTCTGGTGATTGACAGGCCCAGATGGATTGACTCTTCAGGGAGGGGACGATAGTAGATCATCTTCTCATCTTAGGACCAGGTCAGGATGTCATCTCCACTCGGAGCCAGAGGGAGAACTCAAATTCCATTCTTTTTTACCAGGAAACCGTAGCTTTCCCTTAATGGACTTCAGCAAATCCCTGACACCTATACCTTTTTATATAGTGTTTTAAATCTTGGGATTGAAGGGGGGATAATTGGGATGTTTCTAGGGTTAGTGTTAGCCGGGAGAAAGGAGATGGGAGTCTATTCTAGATGACTTCCAAGGTGACTAATCCCTACCCTAGCTACCTGACATCCCCCTCTCAAGATTTAAGATCACTTAGGAGATGGACCAGGAATAGGACTTACAAGGGTTTAGGATCTCCACCCGTAATGACTCTCAGACCTTGGCAGGTGATAAGGGAACTCAAGGGAACTCGGCTAGGCGGTGTTAGACTGCAGGAGGGCCACGTGAGTACTGAGGGGCCATGAAAGAGAGGAGATGAAATTAGGACAGCAGTTCAGTACACAAGATCCAGAGATTGATTAGATCACTGCCTGGATTCTAATAGATGAAACCCCTTTCCACCATACAAACCCAGATCAGTCCAGAGCTCTCCACCAGAAGCTATCAGTGGTGGTGCCTTGGACTGGAGATTCAGTCACACTTTCATGCACAGCTTCTGGACATCTGTGTAAAAAGAGAAAGACAGCAGGAATCCAGATGGGGACAGATGCCCTAAACCTTGGTGGCTTGAAGCAAGGATAAAACTTGGCCATAGAACTAAGAATATTTCCAGCTCTGAGAATTTCCTACCTGCCGTCCCCACAGCTCTTACAACAGTGTTCACGGAAGTGCCTTCCCTCCTGTCTAGGCAGCACTCCGCTAAATGCCTGTGAGCCTTCAGGGATCCAAGCTGTTTCCCTTCACTCCACCCCTGCTAGCCTCCGGCAGATTCTCCAGGAGACCCAGATTCTCCAGGAGACCCAGATTCTCCAGGAGACGCGAGCCATGAATCTTCTCATCTGATTTAATCCTGACATCATCTACCTGGACATAGAATCAGAGCTCTCGGTTTAAGGGCTCAGCCCCATTATCTGAGGTCTGTCTGTAACCTCAGGTCCCTGAGCCTGGACCTCCAGAACTCTGACCATACAGGCTGTGTGTTAGGTGTTCCCCGTAACTTCTGCTCGGATTCTGTAATCCGCTAGAGCCGCTAGCTCAAGGAACCCAGAGGAAAACTTCACCTGTTCTTCCCATTGATCATAAATGATACTGCAGAAGATGCTAATGAATGGCCAGGTGGGGAAATACATAGGGTGAGATGGGCAGGAGGGCAGGAGCCCTTCCCCCTCCCCCCACCCCTGCCCACCTTCCAGCCATGCTTTGGGCTTTCATGTGACCATCCTTGGTCCTGAAGCTTCTAGAGACCACTAACCAGTAGTCAGCTCATTAGCATACAAAAGGTATTCTTATCCTGGAGATTTCCGAGAAGCTCTCGAGATCTGTAAGTCAGGAATTAGGACAAAGGGCATGTACGTATTCCAGGTTATCACAGGCACTGGCTTCAGATCTCTCTCAAACTAAAAATCATTGGGGAGGGGGGAAACCCGACACCATCCTTTCTTCCAAGACCCACCCTTCCTACCTGTTCTGTTTTCTGTCCTGTGATCCTGGGTACCTTCAGGGCGTTGATGGGGCGTCCAGTGGAGCCTTAGTTTTAGTCTAAGAAGATTTACCCTGCAGGACCCTACAGCTGTGCAGAAGCAGAACGCACCACATTATATTGTGCATCTCAGAAAGTGTGTTTTCAAGAAAGTTCCTGCTGTGGAATGTTCCTTTATTGTGTTACTGTGTTTGGTTTAATAAAGAGCTGAATGGCCATTAGCTAGCCAGAAAGAGGTTAGGCAGGACTTCTGGGGACAAGAGCTCTGGGAAGAACAAAGTACGAGTTGCCTGCCCAAGGCAGAGGGAGCAAGACATGCAGGAGGAGATGTAAAAGCCACAAGTCATGTGGCAACACATTGGTGAATAGGAATGGGTTGACTTAAGTTATAAGAGCTAGCGGGACAAGCCTAAGCCATAGGCCAAGCTTCTATAATTAGTAAGTTTCCATGTCGTTTTTTGGAGCTGGTAGCCCAAAGAAAAATCCATCTACAGGTTCCATTAAAGAAAACAAAACCAAGTCTGAGATTTTCCTGCACTTGTCCAGTTTTAAGGTTTAACTCCTGCAACTTCCCTGAGAGGCACAAACAACCCCGAGCATCAGAGACCTCGTCCCATTCCTCTGTGGTTCTTGTTTGCACTTCTCAGTTCCCCGACACCCAACAGATGTAGGATTTTAGCAAAACTCTTCGCAAGGAAAAGCTGCTGTCTGGCTGGTGATGTCACTTTTCTCTATCATTTCAAGTGGATAATTTTTATGGGTGAGTGGGCTCAGGAGGTGTATATAGCTGAGCTTTTATTTTGACATCTGGTTAATCCACCAAAGAGCCTGGTTGGCCAGGTATGCATTTTGAGACATATAGCGTTCTAGAAGAAGATCATGGCCTGGTGCAACTGGCCAAGGTCATCTGCTGCTAGATGGACCTGCTGGGCAAGGAGGCAAGGTGACAGGGGTGTCACTGGGGTGGCAGGTGCCTCCTGGTTGTGTGAAGTAACCAGAGGGCCTGTGGGCCTAGACAGGAAAGACATTTAGGACATCTATTTTGTAAACAAACTAAGATAGAGAAAAACTACTGCCATGTGGACCTCTGTCATCGAGTTGGAGAGCCCTAGGCCCTACTCTGAATGGCCCCCATTCTGTACCCTATAGGGATTTCTCTCTGCTTTCTATGTGGATTTTTCCTTTGGGAGAGGTAGATTTCTCTGGATGGCTCAAACTAACTGGGGTAGGAAAGAGAAGCCACAGAAGTTGGAGGTGAGCTGGATGGTGAGCTGGATGGTGAGGTTTACAACAGGGAAGAAAACACCTATTGAGGGCTGGCAGAAGGGCTCAGTGGTGAGGGCACTGGCCACCAAGCCTGACCACCAGAGGTCAGTCCCCTGGGTCTACACGGCAGGAGAGAAGCAGTTCCCCCTCCACGTGTGGCATGCCCGCTCTCCCACCACACCAAGCAAAGTCAATAAAACGCTAGGGGAGAAAAAGCACCTTTTGCTCTTTTATGGCAAGTGAGGTCTGCAAGGTAGGTTGATCTCTGAGTGATTGCTGCTCACCTTTGTCCTACTGGGGAGCAGGGTACTAGGCGTTAGCTTGTGTCCAAGCAGAATGTTACACCATACTCTAAGATAGAAGCTTATTCCCTCACAAAGGCCATAGTCCATCTGCACATGACCTGAACCTAGCCATCTGCCCCCTGGAGAAAACTACAAAGCCGACCAGCGTGCCCTCGGCTTGGCTCCTTGGCCAACGGATTCCGCTCACTTTTTCAATGTTTTCTTTTTCAGAACCCGAGACGACAGATGTCACTATGAACCCCCGCTCATTTTTCCTCAGGAATCCCAGTGAAAATGCCTTTGAACTGGTCCCCCTGGGGGATGAGGAGGAGAAAAATGAAAGTGCCCTGCCCGAGGGCAGGGCCATCTACTTAAACAGAAGCCGCTCCCCTCCCACAGCACCTGCTCCCTTCATCTCGGAAGATGCCTCGGGATATCTGACCAGCCCCTGGCTGACGCTCTTCATCCCCTCGGTTTACACCTTTGTGTTCGTCGTCAGCCTGCCTCTGAACATCCTGGCCATCGCTGTGTTCGTCCTGAAGATGCAGGTCAAGAAGCCGGCCGTGGTGTACATGCTGCACCTGGCCATGGCTGATGTGTTGTTTGTGTCCGTGCTCCCCTTGAAGATCAGCTACTACTTTTCCGGCAGTGATTGGCAGTTTGGGTCCGGCATGTGTCGCTTCGCCACCGCCGCGTTCTACTGTAACATGTATGCCTCCATCATGCTCATGACGGTCATAAGCATCGACCGCTTCCTGGCGGTCGTGTACCCCATCCAGTCCCTGTCCTGGCGCACCCTGGGCCGAGCTAACTTCACTTGCCTGGTCATCTGGGTGATGGCCATCATGGGGGTGGTGCCTCTCCTCCTCAAGGAGCAGACCACCCAGGTTCCGGGGCTCAACATCACCACCTGCCATGACGTCCTCAATGAGACCCTGCTGCAAGGCTTTTACTCCTACTACTTCTCGGCCTTCTCCGCTGTTTTCTTTCTCATTCCACTGATCATTTCCACGGTCTGCTACATGTCCATCATTCGGTGTCTCAGCTCCTCTGCAGTGGCCACTCGGAGCAAGAAGTCGCGGGCTTTGTTCCTGTCCGCCGCTGTGTTCTGCATCTTCATCGTGTGCTTTGGGCCCACCAACATCCTCCTGATCGTGCATTACATGCTCCTCTCAGACAGCCCTGCCACGGAGACGGCCTACTTTGCTTACCTCCTCTGTGTCTGCGTGAGCAGCGTGAGCTGCTGCATCGATCCCTTGATTTACTACTACGCCTCCTCCGAGTGCCAGAGGCACCTCTATGGCATCTTGTGCTGCAAAGACAGCTCCGATGCCAACAGCTACAACAGCACCGGCCAGCTGATGCCAAGCAAAATGGATACCTGCTCGAGCCACCTGAACAACAGCATATACAAAAAGCTATTAGCTTAGGGGAGAAAGCTTGCTGGAAGGTTACACAGAAAGGGCTGGAAAAGTGGACAGCCCAGGGATCCTGTTAGTCTCTGGCAAGCACTGTATTTACTTCACCACCTAGAACAACCAATGTCTGATCTGCATGCCTACTTCCTACAAGTGCTATCAAGAATAATTACCAGAAAGGTAATGGGGACAAAAGATGTCCAGCGTTGCCAGTGCTGCAATAGTAACCAACTGTCCCTTCTCATATATCTAGGTGACCTGAATATATAGGCAGTATGCACATGTGTATTTGCAATGCAGTGTGGTATCGGCGCTTTGACACGTTTCTCGTTTATTCCCTAGCAGTTACTATGGAAATAATCTGATTCTCTGACTTACTAAACAAAGTCTGGTTTGGTTGGTGGATGTTAGCACTGAACAGCTAAAGGTATCCAGTGATAGGGAAGGAGTCCATAGGTCAGACTTAACACAGCTTTTGCCCATATATATATTTCCAATTATTTGATGGTAATATTTGAGCAATAGAAGGATGAAAGAGTATTATCTGTGTAGGGGAAGATCTAATGCTTTTCATCTTGCTTTTCATCTTGAATACACCATAGTCGAAGAATTACCAAAACAGTTGGAAAGTCCATTTTGATATGGGTAGCATTTTTGCAATTTACATACGGAATACATGGACCAGGATTGAGCATGAGACCCACCAGGATCATAAGAAACCTTTTAAAGCGGCCAACCCAATAACTAGGCACAGCCATCTCCATGAGATCCTTTGAACAGCTGATGCCCATTCAGCTGTGCCTCCCAGAGAGCAGAGATGGGGACCACCAGGCCCACTCCTTGCTCGCGGCTTCCCATCAGCTGTGAACTGACTGTATGTGTTAGGAACTGACCAGCTAGGATAAGACATCCTGGGAGGGAATAACTACGAGAGTCGTCTGCACTTCTGAGGAGCAGGGAAAGGTGTGTTTATATCCAGTAGCTGTCTTGCAAGGCTGGCTCTTGCACAGACACACCCACGTGCCCTGGGCACTCTGATGGGAACTGGGGCTGCAGACTGACTGACTGCCAGACATTAACTGAGTCCTGCCTTTGCTCAAACAAAGCAGATAGCTGACGTGTGGTCAACGTGATGTAAGCACCGCAGATACACCACTGTACAGAGAAGTGTGTTCAGCCAGACACCACCAAGCATACTTCACAAAAAGCAAGGCCTAACAGCTAAACAGCTTTGAAGATTCTGCTTCCAGTAGCTATAGATTAGGATACAAACACAGCTTAAGATGTATATTTTTAAGAAATAAGCCCTTCAGTCAACAATAACTAGACACTATTTATTTACAAATGTTTTTATTAGAAATTACTCAAATAAGCCAGGCATTGTGGCATACACCTTTAATCCCAGCATTTGGGAGGCAGAGGTAGGCAGACTTCTGTGAGTTCGAGGCCAGCCTGGTCTACATGATGACTTCTAGGCTATCTAGGGCTACACAGTGAGACCTTGGCTCAAAACAACAACACCATCAAAATGAAACAAAACAAAACAAAAAACCCACATTTTTAAAAAGCAAGAAAACACAAAAAAAAATTTTACTTATAAGGTCAGTCTGGTTTTTTTAAGAAAATGGAAGAAAATGAAATTAAGACTGAAATGTAGGAAAATTATCCTGTATTTTTCTTGAGTTAATTAAATTATTTTAAAAGCGTTTTTTAATGTCTCAGTGACTAATAAGTCTATAAAATCCTCAAGGCTTTGACAAAGTAATTTGAAAATTAATTTGAAATATATACTTTCCCTGATTTAAGAAATACGTTGGCATTTTAAGCAAATAAAAGAGGATAGAAGGACTAAGTGTCTATTTAAGAGAACAAAGTATTTCCAGATACTGTAGAATAGCTTCCACGAAAGTCCTGCAGTTGGACTGTTAACTCAGTTACTGTACTGATATCTAGATCACTGACTCACTGTCTAGGCTCTGTCTGTGACTTACATAACTATTACTACTGTCCTTGTGAACTTTGATGTCACTGTTTCGTGTTCACTCTTTTTTAAAGAATTACGTAACATATCAATAAACATGAAAACGTGCTTGGTATCTGTCTGGAATAGATTATAATAGATTATTGTTGTGGGAGCTGGTGGGAGAGCACACCAAAACACTCTTTAGTGAATACGTAGGTAGGTGCTTTATGATGACGAGGCTGGGGTTTCAGGAAAGCTCCCCAGAGGCGCTAGAGATTAGGGAGAGCCCTAACCATCCAGAAGCAGGGCACAGGCAGTAACACACTAATCCCCTCTGCAGGACCCTCCAACCCCTTGCTGGTGCTTCCCATTTGCACTCTGTGTGTGTTTGTGTGTGTGTGTGTGTGTGTGTGTGAGAGAGAGAGAGAGAGAGAGAGAGAGAGAAACCAAATCATCATGCCATTTCCATACCTGTATACAGGGTGCCTTGATCACATCTGCACCCACAGTCTCCCTTACCCCATTCCCTCCCTTGCCCTCTGACGGCTCCATGGCGACCCCCCTTTTACTGTCTGGTCCTTTCCCCTGGAAAAAAGACCACCCCTGAGCTCAGCCAGATGTCAAAAGCACCAGGTGATACTCCTCACAGACAGCTTCCCTGGGCATGGAGAAGGGCTCTGGGGAACTAAGGGGGGAGTAGGGAGGAGAACTCAGCATGGTCGTTACAAAGATTCATTGGATGGTTATCTTCCTATTTTTTAATCCTCTGTTTGGAACATTGATGATTCTAACATTGAAAACATTGGGTTCTGCACTTGCCATGAGCGACCATCTGCACTAGGTAGTGTTCCTCGGGGAGAATTCAAAGTGGTACTTAACCTTGAGAATTGAAAATCAATAACAAAGTCTTCAGTACAGTGTTTCTGGATTCATAGTCGATTTTTAAAAATATCACTTCATCTAAACAAGTATTGTGTTAGCACAGAGAATTGTCGACATGAATTTTCTAAGGTCATACATGCAGAAAACAAACCATGTGGTGGTCTTGACTCGGGACTTCTGCATTAGGACCCTGCCTCTAACCAGAAAGCAACCGCAAACTTTCCTACTATAACTTTCCAAAATATATCAACATAAAATATTTGCATTTTCCACCACCAAGTCAAAAATAACATTTATTTTTGAGGAAATGGAACATTCGTTTGGCTGTTGAACACGTAGTTGGAAATTTTTATGCTGTGCTTCATTTGAAGAAATTAGAGAAGCAGCATGTCCTTGAGGAAGCCATGCATTTCAGAAACCAGTGGAAAGAAAGCATTAAGCTTGCTTTGTAAGCCAGCTGTTTTCCATTATGAGGCCTGGGCCTTCCGCACACAACTTACCTTCACAAAGGGTCATGTGGAAATGAAGGGGCACATCATATACATGTATGAAACCCTCATACAATAGACAAAAAGAAACTGTCCCCAACAGTGGTCACCAGGATCATTAGTGCTTTGTATTGAGTCTTTCAAAGTCATGAGACCAAGTGGGCACTGGGGAATTTGGCCCCAGGAGAAGATAGCATGAATTTTCTGGAGGAGAGGCAGCTCAGTGAACTGCCGCCTGAGGACAGAGAGACCAGTAGGGTCATTCTCAGAGGCACCTGTGAGGTCAGGACTAGCAGGGAGCAGTAGGAAGATGTCTCTGACCCTGCTAGGTGTACTGCCGAGTTTCCCAGAGCCTGCTTGTCATGGGACAGTCGCTGGCCTCTGAGGCAGACAGCAAAATGTCATCCACTGAGCCAGCCGTTAAAGAGATTATGGAAAGATACAAACACGGGAGGCAGGGCAGGAGAGACGGCTCAGAGGTCAAGGGCACTTGTTGCTCTTCCAGAGGACCTGGGCTCAGTTCCCAGCACCCACACAATGGCTCACAACCACCTGTAATTCCAGTTCCATGGGATCCAACACCCTCTTCTGACCTCTGAGGGCATCAGGCGAGCACATAGCACACACATCTACATGGTGGCAAACCATCCATCTTCTGACCCAAAGAAGTTCCAAAGAATTGTTCTCAAACATAGCTTTCCAAATCTACTGACTTTCCAAGAACACAGAAACACAGGTCATGGTGGCTCCCATCAGTAGTAGCGGTGCTCGCTACTGGGGAGGCAGAGATGGGGGTCACTAGGTGTTTCAGACGTCATGAAGAGTTCTAGGCTGTCCTGGGCTGCAGTGTAAGATCCTGTCTCCCAAAAAGAGTAGGAGAAGGAAGAGGAGGAGGTCGGGGAAGAGGAAGAAAGAGGGGGAAGGAGGGAGAGGAGGGAAGGATTGAGGAAGGAAGACAGGCAGATAAGAAGGGGAGAGGAGAGGAGGGAGAAGGATAAGAGGGCAACAAGGTAGGTGACAGGAAAAGGAGAGACGAAAGATGGAAAAGAAGAGAATGGAGGATGAGGAAGGGAGTGGAGGGGGGAGGAAACAGAAGCAAGCTAATTATATTTAAAGCAAACAGGAGTGAACTGGTACCTCCCTGCTGCTGGCCACCTGCTGACTTCCTGGCTGCCTCACACCTAAGGGGAACCCATGCCTTGAAGCAACAAAAATTATAGACTAAGTAGAGTCAAGTATCTGGGTGCCCTGTGCCCATGGTCGGGAGGCAAGAGGTACGGTGTGGCCCATGGGTCAAGAGGCAGGGACCGTGTGGCCCATGGGTCGGGAGGCAGGGACAGTGTGGCTCATGGGACAGGAGGAAGGTACGGTGTGTTCCATGGGTCTAGAGGCAGGCACAGTGTGGCCCATGGGTCGGGAGGTAGGTATGATGTGGCCCATGAGACCCGAGGCTCTATATAAAGTCTGCCTTTGAGCTAGCTGCTGCCTAAAAGGAAGAGATGAACTTTTATGAGAATGAGCTGCCAGGGCAATCCAAAACAGCAGTGGCCTCCCAAGAGTCATTCAGAGACATCAGAAAGCAGGCCAAGCGTGGTACTGCATGGCTGCATGCACACCTATCACCCCAGCACTTGAGGCAGAACCGTGGGGTCAAGGCCAGCCTGGGTTACATAGCAAGTCCTGGTCTCAAAACAGATGGGAAACCAAGGAGTGAAAAGTCAGCCAGTGTTTGAGCTTGTTACCCCGAAGACTCACTGGGCACTAGATGCTGCTTTTCTAGAAACACGTGGGAAACCAGAGGTCAGATTCAGCAGCATCTTGGATTTCAGACCAGACAACACTTGCTGTGTTTTCTCCCCAGGTGGCTGCCTGTTTATCCGTAAGGAAATGACTCAGAGCCAGAAGGGAGATTAGCCTCAGATGCTGCATCCACAGTAGCCGGAAGCCTGGGTTTGGGGTTAGGGCAGGCCTGGCCATCCTAATGACTTCAGCATAGACTATAGTAACAAAACCTTTTTAAGCTACCACTGGGCGACCCACTCGGGCAGGCGGCAAGACCCTGAGATCACCACCAGGAGGGAGACTGTCCACATGGCGGCACAGACATAAGACAGTTTCTTAGCTAAATACATTGGTTTTTTTCTTAGCCTGAGACACCTAGTTATTCTTGACCTGCTGAGGTGATGAACACACCTCCCCAGAGAAAGAATGAGACAAGTGCATCCCTTCCATTGGGTTTTAGATATTTTTGTAGTGCTGAGGAACAAAACCTAGAGGCTCACACATAATAGGCAAGCTCTTTCCCACCCAGGTACATCCCCAGACAGGTTCGTTCATTTGTCAATCACAATATAGAATAATACTTAATTAAGAAATATAGAATAAAACCGGATGGTGGTGGCGCATACCTTTAATCACAGCACTCGTGAGGCAGAGGCAGGTGGATCTCTGTGGATTTGAGGCCAGCCTGGTCTACAGAGTAAGTTCCGGGACAGCCAAGGCTGCACAGAGAAACCCTGTCTTGAAAAACAAACGAATAAAAGAAGAAAGGAAAGAGGAAGAGAAGGAGGGAGGGACAGAAGGAGTGAGGGAAAGAGAGGAAAGAAAAAAAGGAGAGGAGGAGGAGGGAGGGAGGGAGGGAGGGAAAGGGGGGAAGAAAGGAGGAAATATAGAATCAAGGCCCTCAGACTTAAAAAAGTTTGAACAGTTCTGCCTTATTATAAGGAAGTTTTGGATACTTTTCATCAGTTCTGAACCACTAGAGAACTTCTAAACAAATCCAGCATCCCCACCCAAACTCAACCACCATGAGTCACAGCCTTTAGGGAACTGCGCCTGAGCATCCATCAGAACTGCTCG